ACTTGTTAGATTCACTGGAGACTGGAGATTCCAGAGAGACTCACAGGACAAGAAACATGGGCAAATCTAAGTGGTTCTGCAAAATTTTCGGAGGCTTCTTACAATGTGTTTCGTTGCTTGCATCACTCAATAAAGCTGTTAGAATAATACATCATGCTTTGAATAAATTGCAGATAGAGATAAGATTTAATTTACAATAATGCTTTATTGTGTTATAAAAAAATGTATGGGTGTATTTTTTAAGGTTTGGGATGTACAGTTGAAGTCGGAAGTTTACATACACCTTAGCCAAATACATTTAAACTCAGTTTTTCACAATTCCTGACATTTAATCCTAGTACAAATTCCCTGTCTTAGGTCAGTTAGGATCACCACTTTATTTTAAGAATGTGAAATGTCAGAATAATAGCAGAGAGAATTATTTATTTCAGCTTTCATTTCTTTCATCACATTCCCAGTGGGTCAGAAGTTTACATACACTCAATTAGTATTTGGTAGCATTACCTTTAAATTGTTTAACTTGGGTCAAACATTTTGGGTAGCCTTCCACAAGCTTCCCACAATTAGTTGGGTGAATTTTGGCCCATTCCTCCTAACAGAGCTGGTGTAACTGAGTCAGGTTTGTAGGCCTCCTTGCTCGCACACGCTTTTTCAGTTCTGCCCACACATTTTCTATAGGATTGAGGTCAGGGCTTTGTGATGGCCACTCCAATACCTTGACTTTGTTGTCCTTAAGCAATTTTGCCACAACCTTGGAAGTATGCTTGGGGTCATTGTCCATTTGGAAGACCCATTTGCGACCAAGCTTTAACTTCCTGACTGATGTCTTGAGATGTTGCTTCAATATATCCACATAATTTTCCTTCCTCATGATGCCATCTATTTTGTGAAGTGCACCAGTCCCTCCTGCAGCAAAGCACCCCCACAGCATGATGCTGCCACCCCCGTGCTTCACGGTTGGGATGGTGTTCTTCGGCTTGCAAGCCTACCCCTTTTTCCTCCAAACATAACGATGGTCATTATGGCGAAACAGTTCTATTTTTGATTCATCAGAACAGAGGACATTTCTCCAAAAAGTACGATCTTTGTCCCCATGTGCAGTTGCAAACCGTAGTCTGGCTTTTTTATGTCGGTTTTGGAGCAGTGGCTTCTTCCTTGCTGAGCGGCCTTTCAGGTTATGTCGATATAGGACTCGTTTTATGGTGAATATAGATACTTTTGTACCTGTTTCCTCCGGCATCTTCACAAGGTCCTTTGCTGTTGTTCTGGGATTGATTTGCACTTTTCGCACCAAAGTACGTTCATCTCTAGGAGACAGAACGCGTCTCCTTCCTGAGCGGTATGACGGCTGCATGGTCCCATGGTGTTTATACTTGTGTACTATTGTTTGTACAGATGAACGTGGTACCTTCAGGCGTTTGGAAATTGCTCCCAAGGATGAACCAGACTTGTGGAGGTCTACAATTCTGTTTTCTGAGGTCTTGGCTGATTTCTTTTGATTTTCCCATGATGTCAAGCAAGGAGGCACTGAGTTTGAAGGTAGGCCTTGAAATACATCCACAGGTACACCTCCAATTGACTAAAATGATGTCAATTAGCCTATCAGAAGCTTCTAAAGCCATGACATCATTTTCTGGAATTTTCCAAGCTGTTTAAAGGCACAGTCAACTTAGTGTATGTAAACTTCTGATCCACTGGAATTGTGATACAGTGAATTATAAGTGAAATAATCTGTCTGTAAACAATTGTTGGAAAAATGACTTGTGTCATGCACAAAGTAAATGTCCTAATCAACTTGCCAAAACTATAGTTTGCTAAAAAGAAATTTGTGGAGTGGTTGAAAAACGAGTTTTAATGACTCCAACCTAAGTGTATGTAAACTTCCGACTTCAACGGTATATCATTAAAATGTGATTAGGAATCAGCACAATGTCTTTGTAATACATGTTTGTATGTAATACATTTTTGATACAGCACGTTGTTGGCTATTTTCTATATTTTCTTAAGAGGTTCTCATAAAATAATAATAATAAATAATATATGCCATTTAGCAGACGCTTTTATCCAAAGCGATTTACAGTCATGCTGTCACGGTCGTCATAAGAAGCGGACCAAGGCGCAGCGTGATAAGCGTACATTCTTTTAATGAGTACACACGAACAAAACAATAAACGATACGTGAAGTCCTAGGGTTAAACACAAACCTTACGGATCAAGATCCCACAATAAACTAGTGCCAAAAGGCTGCCTAAGTATGGTTCCCAATCAGAGACAACGAGAATCAGCTGCCTCTGATTGGGAACCACCCTGGCCAACATAGAAAACAACGATCTAGAACAGAAACCTAGAAAACTAAACATAGACACTAACACCCTGGCTCAACATTAAAGAGTGCCCAGAGCCAGGGCGTGACACATGCATGCATACATTTGTAGGTAAGGGTGGTCCCGGGATTCATAAATCACATTCCTAATCCAACCCATTACAGATTAAATTGGAAATATTAGATATGTTCGTGCATTTTCATTCCAGTCCGTTGTATTTTAGGGAACTGGGAAAATATGTATATTGTGTTAATAAAAATCCACAGTGGAAAATTATGTTTTATTAAGTACACATATTTTTCCCGACGGCCCACCATTAAAGCTAGTTAAAGAGTAAAATGATGCCTTTTCAGCCTGAATGGAGGATGCTTTACAGTGAGGGAAAAAAGTATTTGATCCCCTGCTGATTTTGTACATTTGCTCACCTGACAAAGAAATGATCAGTCTATAATTTTAATGGTAGGTTTATTTGAACAGTGAGAGACAGAATAACAACAAAAAAAGCCAGAAAAACGCATGTCAAAAATGTTATAAATTTATTTGCATTTTAATGAGGGAAATAAGTATTTGACCCCCTCTCAATCAGAAAGATTTCTGGCTCCCAGGTGTCTTTTATACAGGTAACGAGCTGAGATTAGGAGCACACTCTTAAAGGGAGTGCTCCTAATCTCAGCTTGTTACCTGTATAAACGACACCTGTCCACAGAAGCAATCAATCAATCAGATTCCAAAATCTCCACCATTGCCAAGACCAAAGAGCTCTCCAAGGATGTCAGGGACAAGATTGTAGACCTACACAAGGCTGGAATGGGCTACAAGACCATCGCCAAGCAGCTTGGTGAGAAGGTGACAACAGTTGGTGTGATTATTCGCAAATGGAAGAAACACAAAATAACTGTCAATCTCCCTCGGCCTGGGGCTCCATGCAAGATCTCACCTCGTGGAGTTGCAATGATCATGAGAACGGTGAGGAATCAGCCCAGAACTACACGGGAGGATCTTGTCAATGATCTCAAGGCAGCTGGGACCATAGTCACCAATAAAACAATTGGTAACACACTACGCCGTGAAGGACTGAAATCCTGCAGCGCCCGCAAGGTCCCCCTGCTCAAGAAAGCACATATACAGGCCCGTCTGAAGTTTGTCAATGAACATCTGAATGATTCAGAGGAGAACTGGGTGAAAGTGTTGTGGTCAGATGAGACCAAAATGGAGCTCTTTGGCATCAACTCAACTCGCCGTGTTTGGAGGAGAAGGAATGCTGCCTATGACCCCAAGAACACCATCCCCACCATCAAACATGGAGGTTGAAACATTATGCTTTGGGGGTGTTTTTCTGCTAAGGGACAGGACAACTTCACCGCTTCAAAGGGACGATGGACGGGGCCATGTGCCGTCAAATCTTGGGTGAGAACCTCCTTCCCTCAGCCAGGGCATTGAAAATGGGTCGTGGATGGGTATTCCAGCATGACAATGACCCAAAACACACGGCCAAGGCAACAAAGGAGTGGCTCAAGAAGAAGCACATTAAGGTCCTGGAGTGGCCTAGCCAGTCTCCAGACCTTAATCCCATAGAAAATCTGTGGAGGGAGCTGAAGGTTCGAGTTGCCAAACGTCAGCCTCAAAACCTTAATGACTTGGAGAAGATCTGCAAAGAGGATTGGGAGAAATCCCTCCTGAGATGTTAGCAAACCTGGTGGCAAACTACAAGAAATGTCTGACCTCTGTGATTGCCAAGAAGGGTTTTGCCACCAAGTACTAAGTCATGTTTTGCAGAGGGGTCAAATACTTATTTCCCTCATTAAAATGCAAATCAATTTATAAAATTTTTGACATGCGTTTTTCTGGCTTTTTTTGTTGTTATTCTGTCTCTCACTGTTCAAATAAACCTAGCATTAGAATTATAGACTGATCTTTTCTTTGTCAGTGGGCAAACGTACAAAATCAGCAGGGGATCAAATACGTTTTTCCCTCACTGTATGTAGGACCCGTCCACGGGCGACACAGTTTGTACTGTTTTTGGGATTACTGCTAGGCACATCAATCCTAGACGATAGTGCAGATCTGGCGCCCACTATCGGCTAACTAGGCTAATTTAGACCTAGTCTAATCCATACACTTCCACACAGTGCACAGTTTAGCACACCATCATACACATACATAGTATAGCTGTGTCATATTAGCTATTGTACGTCTGTTTCATCGCATAACAATGCAATATTCACTGGATAATTTAAAGATATTGAAATCCATAAATAAAAAGAGGGCGGAACTTACATACCGAGTCGGTGTCGGAACACAATGTGTGACGGACCAAGGCTTCATGTTGTATACACGTGAGATCCTGGAAAAGTTTGACGAGCGAGCTGGACGGCATTTTGTCTTTAACGTTTATACGCCAGACACTACCATAATTTCTACGTATTGAAACGGTAAGTGTTGTTTTTCATGTTTTGTATTAGCTAGCCAATGGAGTTAGCGTTTCACAAGAATCGTTTGTCCAGCTTGCTATCATCAAGCTAGCTATTTACGCTCTTCCTACATTTGTTTTCAAACCAGCTTAACAACGTATTAGTACCGACATATTTAAATGGGAACTTGTAGCACTCCCATCCCTGTCAATGCGATGCTCTCTTCGTGCGATCCATAGAGCTCCTGTCTGTTACGTGCTGTAAGATGGGGCGACTGAGGAAGAGGCACAACTGGAAGGGACGGAAGCAGGACGAGACACATCCACCTCCAGCGGCCAAGGAGGAGGGGAGGACTGTTGTAGTGGAACTCAAAGGTACAACACTCAAGCGCCTGTGGCCCTATGGCTCTCAAAATATGTAGCTACACACGAGGGTAGGGAAGAGATACACGGTAACTAAGTATGAAAATGTATGCACTCACTACTGTAAGTCGCGCTGGATAAGAGCATCTGCTAAATTACTAAAATGTAAAACTACTGTTCGTGAGGTTGGTGTTGTAAGGGGTGCGATTCGTGTGAACTCATAATACTCTGTTCCTAATGTTCCCTGTCCCACAGATGGGGCCAACCTAAAGGGGTTGGACGAGAGCAATGCCCTGGTCCTCCCATCCACTAAAGCCAAGAAGAAGACGAGGGGCATCGAGAAGGCCCTTACTAAGAAACAGCCCCTTACCAAGAAACAGAGGAAACATCTACAAAAAGTATTGGAGGTCAAAGAGAAGAAAGCCAAGGTAACATGCTCAATCTGCCTTCTCTGAGCCAGACCAGGTCAGTTTCAGTCAAGTTTAAACTGTGAACTGTGTCATTTGAAATAGTTCTGCACAAAAACATGAAACTACACTATTCATCATCATCTTCCTCCTTTGACTTCCAGAGAGTAGACATCCTGGCCAAACTGGCTGAAGTGCAGCTGCCTGACTCTGAACTGAAGCTGCTCTACACCACCTCCAAACTGGGCACAGGAGACAAGCAGTACCAGACAAAACAGTAAGGCAGTGGGACTGTCACGCCATTGTAGCTGCATTTGGTTTAGTGATGCTTTCCATAAGCTCAGGTTGACTGATGAACAATGATATTCAGTTGGAGTGATAGTGGCCTGGTCTACTGTAGGCTTGTGTGTGATCCTCTGTGGTGTTGTCTCTCTCTCAGGACTCCTGATGAGGTTGATGATGGAGCCTCAGGGCCCAGGATCAGCAGCCTGAGTGGAGCCAACAGGAAGAGGAAACAAATAGCACGGGAGGAGGAGGAGGAGGAAGAGGAGGAGAGTAGTGGTTTGGACTCATCATCTGATGAAGAGATGGATGATGGAGGGATAGGGAAAGGAGGGGTGGAGGCCACTAATGTCTCAGAATGTAAAGAGCCAGCCTCCTCCTGTCAGGAGAAAGAGGTGGAGGAGATGAAAAAGGAAAAGAAAAAGGAGTCAGGCCTAGCCCAGGCTGCCAGTAAAACGCCATCCGAGCCGGCAATCTTCATCTCCGTGGACAGACTGCCAGAGATACAGGTGTGTGTTTCTTGTGTTGTGTATTTGTTTCTCGTGAGGTGTGTATATTTTTCATGCACATTCTATCTTTGTGTTTTTCTCACTCCATGTGCGTTTGTTTTTATTTCTCCTGCTGTGTGTGTGCATGTGTTTTTGTCCTGCAATGTGTGTGTAGGAGGCCCGTCTGAGGCTGCCAGTGCTGGCTGAGGAGCAGGTGATCATGGAGGCGGTGAGAGAGAACAGTTTTGTGGTTCTGTGTGGAGAGACAGGAAGTGGTAAAACCACCCAGGTACCCCAGTTCCTGTACGAGGCTGGATACGCCAGGTAACACACTCCCTGCTCTTCTTTTTCTCAGCTTCACTCCATCTTATCCACCACTTATCTTTTTGTATATTTATTTGGAAGCCTCCTTTCACTCCACTAATACATCATAATATCTATCTTTATCAATTTCCCTCCTGTTTCTATCCAGTGGCACTGGAATCATTGGTGTGACAGAGCCTAGGAGAGTGGCAGCTGTCAGTATGTCCCACAGAGTGGCCAAAGAGATGAACCTGTCCACACGGTACCCACACACACACACACACACAATGGTTAGTGTGTGAATTTCATTTCCATTTGTGTTTGGTTGTGTCTACTGAGGCTCTGTGTGTGTTTGATTGTGTCTGTTGTTAGGGTGGTGTCGTACCAGATCCGTTATGAGGGGAACGTGACTAGTGACACCAAGATCAAGTTCATGACAGACGGAGTCCTGCTGAAGGAGATTCAGAAGGTAATCTCTCCTTACTCTCCAGCCTTCCCTTCCCATTTTCTGTCCGTCCCCCTCCCTACCTATCTGCCCTCCCCCCATGTTTTTCCATCTTTATTGTATGACTCCATTATATCAGTCTATTTGCCCCAGTCACCCCATTTCCTTTATTGCACTACTTTTGACCAGAGCCTTAAGTAGTGCACTATTATTCCCCTATTCCCTATATAGTGCACTACTTTTGACCAGGACCCATAGTGCACTACTGTATAGGGTGCCATTTGAGACGGAGCCTAAGTCTGTCTCTCTCTGATGTAGGACTTCCTGCTCCAGAGGTACAGTGTGATCATCATAGATGAGGCCCATGAGAGGAGTGTGTACACAGACATCCTGATAGGCCTGCTGTCACGCATCGTACCACTCAGAAACAAGGTCAGACAGACGGGGTTAATTTTTTGTTGTTATTTAAAAGAAACATTGACATGACTCGGGGTTCCTGACTCCTTGAGCATGTTATTTAATACATGCACAACTGTTATGTAAAGATTTATAAACTATTTACTTAATGGAAACTCTACATTTAATAATAATTTATAAGCAGACTTCTCTACCCAACTTGCTGTTGTCCTTATTTTTCCTTACCCTGTTGTTTCCTGTGTGTGTCACACAGAAAGGCCTCCCCATGAAGCTGATAGTGATGTCAGCTACTCTGCGTGTGGAGGACTTCACAGAAAACAGGAAGCTGTTTCCTACTCCTCCTCCTGTCATCAAGGTGGAGGCTCGTCAGTTCCCTGTAAGCGTCCACTTTAACAAACGTACTCCTCTGGAGGACTACACTGGAGAGGTGTTCCTCAAGACCTGTAAGATCCACCGCATGTTGCCCCCTGGGGGTATCCTGGTGTTCCTAACGGGCCAGGCTGAGGTCCACTCTGTCTGCCGGAGACTGAGGAGGGCCTTCCCTTTCAGGAGGGGCAACCCAGCTACTGGTAAGTTTTACACACACACACACACACACACACACACACACACACACACACACACACACACACACACACACATTGTCTTTACACAGTGTAAAATGTATGACTATGTGTTCTGATAAGGTGAGGGAGAGGTGACAACAGACACCTCAGATGAGATGAAGAAGTTTAAGAAAGCCAAACATAAGAAAACTGTGGTACGTACTACTTACTTACTGTCACTGTTGAACAGGTGTGAAGTGTGTGAGTGAATGTTTCAACGCCGTGTGTGTGTGTTTTGTTTCTGTGTGTGAGTAGTCCCTGCCCCGTATTGACCTGGATAACTACTCAGCGTTGCCGGTGGATGAGGGGGATGAGGACCGTCTGGCGGGGATAGATGATGAGCAGGGGTCAGACCTGGAACTAGGAGACGACGCTGCAGACACCGGTAAGAGAAAAGGGCTAGGTGTGTGTTGCCTTAGAGCTCTTTTTCCTTCTTTTTTTTTCTCACCTTTATTTAACCAGGTAAGCCAGTTGAGAACAAGTTCTCATTTACAACTGCAACCTGGCCAAGATAAAGCAAAGCAGTGCGATTTAAAAAAAACAACAACAACACAGAGTTACATATGGGGTAAAACAAAACAGTCAAAAATACAACAGAAAATATATATATATATACAGTGTGTGCAAATGTAGCAAGTTATGGAGGTAAGGCAATAAATAGGCCATAGTGCAAAATATTTACAATTTAGTATTAACACTGGAATGATAGATGTGCAAGAGATGATGTGCAAATAGAGATACTGGGGTGCAAATGAGCAAAATAAATAACAATATGGGGATGAGGTAGTTGAGTGGGCTAATTACAGATGGGCTGTGTACAGGTGCAGTGATCGGTAAGGTGCTCTGACAACTGATGCTTAAAGTTAGTGAGGGAGATAAGAGTCTCCAGCTTCAGAGATTTTTGCAGTTCGTTCCAGTCATTGGCAGCAGAGAACTGGAAGGAATGGCGGCCAAAGGAGGTGTTGGCTTTGGGGGTGACCAGTGAGATATACCTGCTGGAGCGCAGACTATGGGTGGGTGTTGCTATGGTGACCAATGAGCTAAGATAAGGCGGGGATTTGCCTAGCAGTGATTTATAGATGACCTGGAGCCAGTGGGTTTGGCGACGAATATGTAGTGAGGACCAGACAACAAGAGCTCTCAGGTGTGTATCCTTGATTCATATGTTCTCTCTTTCTTTCTGTGTCTGTAGAGAAGGCAGACCCGTCCCTCCCTCTCTATGTCCTCCCCCTCTACTCTCTCCTGGCTCCAGAGCAGCAGGCCAAGGTAAGACGGGCCACTTGGCACAACAAACCTACACTAGATGAAGTGATATCATTGCATTAATACATGGATCTGTGTCTGTCTGTGCAAGCTTGCATGTGAGCTTGTCCTTGTGCTCATGCTTATTGTGTGTTTCTAATCTTTGTGTGTGTCCAGGTGTTCCGGCCCCCTCCCCCTGGTGCACGTCTGTGTGTCGTAGCTACCAACGTAGCAGAAACCTCTCTAACCATCCCGGGGATAAAGTATGTGGTCGACTGCGGTCGGGTCAAGAAGCGCTTCTACGACCGCGTCACAGGGGTCTCCTCCTTCAAGGTCTCCTGGACCTCACAGGCATCAGCCAATCAGAGGGCAGGCCGGGCAGGCCGTACCGAACCTGGACACTGCTATAGGTCAGACCTGGAAAGGGGTGTTTAATTGTTAAAGTAAATGCTTTCTCACCTCATTTTTAACCTCTTCAGTCATTTCTAACAGATACAATTGAATGTGCAATGACTGTGTGTGCCAGGCTGTACTCATCAGCGGTGTTTGGAGACTTCAGTCTGTTCTCTGAGGCAGAGATAACCCGCAGGCCAGTTGAGGACCTGGTACTACAGATGAAGGACCTTAACATAGACAAGGTCAGAGAAATAACACATTATTGATTGATGCTTTAAAGATAGGGAGAAAGTCTTCCTGTGAATTTAGTCAGACACTAGCTAATGGTGTGTTCCTAATGGTGTGTTCCACTGCGCCAACTCCCGAGTGGCGCAGTGGTCTAAGGCACTGCATCGCAGTGCTAGCTGTGCCACTTGAGATCCTGGTTCGAATCCAGGCTCTGTCGTAGCCGGCCGCGACCGGGAGACCCATGGGGCGGCGCACAATTGGCCCAGTGTCGTCCGGGGTAGGGGAGGGAATGGCCGCCAGGGATGTAGCTCAGTTGGTAGAGCATGGCGTTTGCAACGCCAGGGTTGTGGGTTTGTTTCCCACGGGGGGCCAGTATGGAAATAAAATAATGTATGTATGCACTCACTAACTAACTGTAAGTCGCTCTGGATAAGAGCGTCTGCTAAATGACTAAAATGTAAATGTGTTCAGGTTGTAAACTTCCCATTCCCCACTACTCCCTCGGCTGAGGCACTGGTGGCAGCAGAACAGTTACTGGTTTCACTGGGAGCACTAGAGGAGCCGCCACGCACCGGACGGTAAGCGGTTAAACCTGACTCACTTTACCTCACACTTCACCCCCCATACCTCACCCTTCGCTCAACCTACCTCACTGCTCACAAACTCACTTCTCAGCAGGTATATCTGTAGTCCCCTCTTCAGATCCTCTACCCCACTATTCCCTCCTGCAGCCCACCCACCAATCAATCAATCCATTTCTCTATATCTGCTGTAGGGTGAAGGAGATGGAGCGAGCGCGTCTGAGCTGTCCCATCAGCCCCCTGGGCAGGGCGATGGCGTCATTCCCTGTGTCACCGCGCTACGCTAAGATGCTAGCGCTAGGGAAGCAGCAGGACTGTCTGCCTTACGTCATCGCTGTGGTGGCCGCGATGACGGTCCGGGAGATCTTTGAGGATCTGGACAGGTGGGGGGCAGAGAGAGTAGAGGAAATGTGTGCTTATAGGATTATTCTGAAATACATAGACATTAGACTAGCATGTGTTTCTGATCAAACACAGGGTTTTGGTTCCATTACTTATTTTGAAATGCATATTTAAACAAGATCCTAATGTGTTTGCATCTCTACATTCTCTCTCCACCATCTCTATTGGTATCCTCTCCACCATTGTCCCCTGGTCCAGACCTGCTGGTAGTGAGGATGAGAGCTCCAGGCTGGCCCAGCGTCGAGCCCGGCTGGCCCAGATGAGGAGGCTGTGGGCTGGGCAGGGAGCCTCTCTACTGCTGGGGGACCTCATGGTCCTGCTGGGTAAGGCTGGAGTGTGAGCGTATGAGGGTGTTGTGTTTTTCTTTGTGTGTGTTCTGTACTACATGTGTCTGTGTTAAAGTATTATGGGTTACCTCAGGTGCTGTGGGTGCGTGTGAGTTTGCCGGCTGCACTCTTAAATTCTGTGAGGAGAATGGACTGAGGTATAAAGCCATGCTGGAGATCAGACGACTTAGAGGACAGCTCACCAATGCAGGTACACACACACACACACACACACACACACACACACACAGAGAGACACAGAGCGACACACACTCACACTCTGTCCTCTCCTTCCCTAGTGAACTCGGTGTGTCCAGAAGTAGGTGTGTTTGTGGACTGTAAGATGGCTCCGCCCACTGAGAGCCAGGTGGTGTGTTTACGTCAGATAGTGCTGGCGGGACTGGGAGACCACCTGGCCAGACGGGTACAGCAAGAGGAACTACTAGACCCAAAATGGAGGAATGGATACAAGGTGAGTTCTCCTATAACATTAGATAATAATAATAATAATATGCCATTTAGCAGACGCTTTTATCCAAAGCGACTTAGTCATGCGTGCATACATTTTTGTGTATGGGTGGTCCCGGGGATCGAACCCACTACCTTGGCGTTACAAGCGCCGTGCTCTACCAGCTGAGCTACAGAGGACCACAGATCCTCACTGATCGAAGAGATTTATTTTTTTATCTTTGTGTGTTTCTTAGTCTCATTTGTGATCCTGCTTGTTGATAGTGTTTTTGAGTTGTGTTGTCTCTTTCTCTGTTTCAGACCCCACTCCTAGATGAGCCTGTCTACCTCCACCCCTCCTCAGCCCTGTTTAAAACCCTACCTCAGTTTGTGGTCTATCAGGAGGTCTTGGAGACCACCAAGATGTATATGAGAGGTAGGTGAAACACTTCCACTGATATAGTACAGCTTAATGTCATCAGTATTCCATTATTCCAACAGCTGTTAACTAGGGAGACTTGTCTCTCAGGTGTGTCAGCGGTAGAACCAGAGTGGGTTCCCCAGCTCCTCACCCAGTACTGCCACTTTGGATCTCCTCTGGAGACTCCATCACCATGGCTCTGTGCATCTACAGGCAGGGTCAAATGCCGCTGTACCAGCACCTTTTGTGAGTCTGCTCTACACCACGCCTGTCTTTGTCACGTTCAGTAATAGTGTCTCTCTGACCTCAATCTTTCCTAAATTCCCTGCATCCTCTCTCGTTGCCTCCTCAAAACGCATTGGGGAAGGTCTGAGGGGAGGGACCTTGGACCTTCTCTAATACAGTAGAAAAGGAGGTGAGGAGAATCACGGAAAGACAGATTGAGCCTAACACTCTATTCCCTGTATCTCGCTCTAGTCCGATGTGGCTGGCAGCTTCCTGCTATAGAGATGGATTACCCAGATGGCCTGGAGCGATACAAACTGTTTGCCAGGTTCCTTCTGGAAGGACAGGTACTGAATGCACTGGCTGCATCCCAAAGGGAACCCTTTTCCCTATAAAGTGTACTATATAGTGTCAGATCAGGCAGTACAGTACAGATCTCTGGGACAAACTTGGTTTAGATGGTGTAAAACAGGTTGACTGCACTCAAGTGGAACCTTTTCATTTGTGTTTCAGGTCTGCCCTAAATTGAAGCAGCACAGCAGTTATCTTCTCTCAAACCCTTCCATCATGATGAAGACCTGGGCAAAGTGAGCCAAGCGTTCCTTACACTACAGCACATAGGAGGGTCTGTCTGTGTTAATACTTAATGTTGTTGTTCCTCTGTCTGTAAGACTCCAGCCCAGGACTGAGGCTCTGCTGGGAGCTCTGGTGTCAGAGAGAGTGGACTGCAGAGACGTACTGCTCTCATCCTGGAAGAACAACGACAAATGTACGCATCTGTGTCATTTCAATGAGAGAGACTGTCAAATGTGTGAAATTGTTGAACATTATTTTGTTCTCTATTCTAATTTTCTCCTTCTCTCCGTCCAGTCCTCTTGTCTGCGTACTGCCAGTGGATCCCTGAAGCTAAACACGAAGATGTGGCCAAGAGCTGGCCTCCCATCTAACACAGAGGACACTGATACCAGCTCTGCTGCCTGCCAAGCACCCTAGGCCAAACCAGCCATACCAACACAGTGCCGTTAACACAACCTCATAACCCATAGCATGGAGCCAGTTACCCATACCTCAGCCAGCCACAACACACAGGACCTTTTGGCTGTTCTGTACAGAACTGTTCAGGGGAAGGACAATTCTTTCACTTGGACCATATGTCCTTCTCTGGTTGTGCTTTGATGGATTTTTAAGACTAATTCTTTGTGCTGGTCTGAATCTGATGATTTAGAATGAGATTTGATCAGTGTTGGACAGAATGAAAATCCAAATTCGATGTGGACCTCTTTTTGAAGATGAAGCCTGACTCTCGCCACACAGTTGACACTGTGAAAATAAAGGCTTAATTTTTTTTGGATGTAAGTACATTTATTATTGTGCTTGCTGAAGTTTCTTGCATAGTCTTACTATTATATTTATTTCCCTCGCTCTAGCGCTTAAAACGATTTAAGCTATGAACACGAAACTAACTTCCAGAGGTGCAGACCGCCCCAACTTTGATTGCTTGAGAAAATCTTTTTGAAAGCATTTATACTTTAACTACAACAATATGTAAAATTATCTCCAATGCATTTCAATGGCAGAAAAAGGGCCATAGACTATCAACTACAAACCAATGTTGAGATGTTCAGACTGACCCTACTTAGATTGCTTGTCAAAGGTTTTTTTAAATACTATTTAGGGCTCTATTCAATCTATATCGCTGAAGTGTTACAGATTGCGCGATAGAAAAGAAAAGGTAATTTCCAATTGAGCTAACATATGCAGTGTTTACTGTAAATGCAGTCTCCGCTAACGTGGGAACATGGAGGATGGAATAGAGCCCTTATACTTTTTGAACTATAACAATTTTAAATTAGCATAAATTAACATGTTTTAATGAGAACCATAAGAATACAGTGGTAGCTACAAAACAAACTTTAAAATGTTCAGGCTATCCTAACTTCAAATGTTCTAACACAGGTACAGTGCATTCGGAAAGTATTTAGACCTCTTTACTTTTCCATATTTAGTTTTTTTCCCTCATCAATCTACACACACATACCCCATAATGACAAAGCAAAAACAGGATTTTAGAAATAAAACCCCCCAGAAATATCACATTTACATAAGTATTCAGACCCTTTACTCAGTACCTTGTTGAAGCACCTTTGGCTGTGATTACAGCCTCAAGCTTACTTGGGTATGATGCTACAAGCTTGGCACACCTGTATTTGGGGAGTTTCTCCCATTCTTTTCAGCAGATCCTCAAGCTCTGTCAGGTTGGATGGGGAGCGTCGTTGCACAGCTATTTTCAGGTCTCTCCAGAGATGTTAGATCAGGTTCAAATCCGGGCTCTGGCTGGGCCACACAAGGACATTCAGAGACTTGTCCCGAACCCACTCCTGCATTGTCCTGGCTGTGTGCTTAGGGGCGTTGTCTTGTTGGAAGGTGAACCTTTGCCCCAGTCTGAGGTCCTGAGCGCTCTGGAGCATGTTTTCATCAAGGATCTCTTTGTACTTTGCTCCGTTCAACTTTCCCTCGACCCTGACTAGTCTCCCAGTCCCTGCTGCTGAAAAAGATCCCCACAGCGTGATGCTGTCACCACCATGCTTCATCGTAGGGATGGTGCCAGGTTTCCTCCAGATGTGACGCTTGGCATTCAGGCCAAGGAGTTCAATCTTGCTTTCATCAGACCAGAGAATCTTGTTTCTCATGGTCTGAGTCCTTTAGGTGCCTTTTAGCAAATTCCAAGCAGGCTGTCATGTGCCTTTTACTGAGGAGTAGCTTCCGTCTGGCCTCTACCATAAAGGCCTGATTGGTGGAGTGCCGCAGAGATGGTTGTCCTTCTGGAAGGTTCTCCCATCTCCACAGAGGAACTCTGGAGCTCTGTCAGAGTGACCATCGGGTTCTTGGTTACGTCCCTGACCAAGGACCTTAGACTGGAGCGAAGGTTCACCTTCCAACAGGACAATGACCCTAAGCATACAGCCAAGACAACGCAGGATTGGCTTCGGGACAAGTCTCTGAATGTCCTTGTGTGGACAAGCCAGAGCTCGGACTTGAACCCGATTGAACTTCTCTGGAGAGACCTGAAAATAGCTGTGCAGCGACGCTCCCCATCCAACCTGACAGAGCTTGAGGATCTGCAGAGAAGAATGGAAGAAACTCCCCAAATACAGGTGTGCCAAGCTTGTAGCGTCATACCCAAGAAGACTTGAGGCTGTAATCGCTGCAAAAGGTACTTAAACAAAGTACTGAGTAAAGGGTCTGAATACTTATGTAAATGTAATATTTCATTTTTTTTAACATGTCTAAAAACCTGTTTTTGCTTTGTCATTATGGGGTATTGTGTGTAGACTGATGAGGGGAAAAAACTATTTCATCAATTTTAGAATAAGGCTGTAACAAAATGTGGAAAAAGTAAAGGGGTCTGACTACTTTCCGAATGCACTGTAGTAGCACTTCAGACTAGTACTCACTGGCCCACAACCAGCTTGATGACATTGGTGAAAACTCTGTTCAGTACCTGAGCCAGAGTCACCGCTGAGGAACAGAGGCAAAGAACTGGATCAGTATCTCTCTCGCACGCACGCAGCTGTTCTGATGCCAAACAGCATGTGTAGTTCTACAGTCAGGCCTTACCTAGCGAGGCCTCCCCCTCTGTTCTCTTCAGGAAGGTAAGCAGCAGGATCACCAGGAATGGAGTAAAACATTCCACACTGATACGAGGGACATGGTCAGTACCATAGGAATAGAATAAGTAAGGCAGGCCAAATGGTAACACTTTACTTCTGGGGAGTATACAATCATGAAAATGTCATGACTAGTTTCATAAAGATGTTGCTTCATGACTACTCCCTTCAATTAAAATGTTACCAAAAAAATATTCCAATTCAATGTTCCATGATTTTATTGAATTCAGTGCCTCCCCCTGGCACACACCAGTACTCGCAAACATGAGAGGTGGGGACATGGTCATTCTCCACTGTGAAACTTATACAGCCACATCTCCTCTGCCTGGATCTCACGAATAAAGGGGGGAAGCTGTTGTCACACTGAGGGAGATCTCTCTCACACACACACAGTTAAGATCATTTAAATAATTAATATTAATATGCCATTTAGCAGACGCTTTTATCCAAAGCGACTTACAGTCATGTGTGCATACATTTTTATGTATGGGTGGTCCCGGGGATCGAACCCACTACCCTGGCGTTACAAGCGCCATGCTCTACCAATTGAGCTATAGAGGACCAAACAAGTCAATATGGAACCCATTTGTCAATGTTATTACATGTTTGGATGTTTGTTATTAACACTATGTTATTACATGATATTGGAAACCATACAAAACTTACTCACAGGAAGACAACCAGAAGCAGCAGTCCCCTCATCTTGTTTCTCAGTTTAGTTTCCAGACAGATCACTTGGCAAATTCATTGGCATCCTCTCCTAAATTGGAAGGGGGAAAGAAAGAAAATTGGTTCAAAATGATTAATTTATTACAAAACATGTTATAACAAATATAACACAATTTATAATAACGAATTAAGTCTGACTGGTGACACATGGCTGAGTGTGGACCAAATGAAAGGGGCTGATTTGTTAGATTGATATGCGCAATGACAGGTACATTTAGCAACAGTAGAGAAGTCATGCTAGTCTTTCTTGTTCCATGTTTAAAATTGCCAACTTAATTAGCTAACGTTAGCTAGTGCATATCGTGAACATCCAATTGATTCACAATTTATTCATCTTAAATGTAGTGCCCTGCCCCCATATTGCTGGCTACACCTCTATTATCTTGCTAGGAGCATAGCAACATTTTACGCCTCTACACATCTGGGAACTGATAACTTCTGAAAACTTGTAGGAGCATTTCCCGGTGAAAATCTCAGATCTATAATTTTTGCTAGCGAAATTAGCAGAACCAACCTTTAAACTCGGTGTTTACGTCTTTCTCCGCATATTGAGATTCTCACTGATAGCTACCGTGGCCTACTCATCATCATACTCGTCACCGGAGACCCGGAGAAAGCTTTTCGTCCGTTGTGTTGAAGAAAATGCAATGCCACGTCACGTTAACGGGGCGATCTCTAGTGGACAAATGGTAGAATAACACATTTGATTACTAGGACCGAAAAGCACAGCAAAATAAAAATCCAATTACTAAAAATTGAAAGTATGATATTGTATTTTCCATGAAGATAGGATCAAATGAGTTCCACTGAGACACAGTACAGCTTTATTTAAGTCAAACTTCAGGCATGTCTGAACTCCTCGGCTCCAACTCAACCTCTCAACCTCCTTTAGAATGAAAAGACAGAATCAATCGTTTGAAATAAAAAGACAGTCATGTACAAAAAGAGTGTCATCCTCACAGTCACACACATTTAGAAGCAACATTTTACAGGCAATAGCACGCCACAGTAACATGATCCTATGCAAGTTCAATGCAATCTATGTACAAGTCTAAACATTATGCAATATAACACCGGCTGCTGAACAGCAAAAATAATATGGTAACTTTTTGTTCATCCAATTTTTCATTGAAGCAACATTTAGAGATAGGTACGACCAGAGCCATATATTTAGGAGATGGGACACTGAGGTTTCTGCATTATGATGCATTTTACATGACACAACAACATTCTATGGCAGCCATAAACAATGCTATGTAACTGAATGTCTCGAATTAGAACAATATTAAACATTTTAAAAGTTGGCTGAACTCTCTAAAATATATGGCTCTGGGTAGGACCACAGCAGAATCACCAGAGCAGTTTCACTACATGACTGTGGTGAAATGAGTTCCTCTGAAATCATTGTTCCTCCTAATGTCTGGGAGAGCATGTCAATCACATGTAATGACAGAAATAACAACTAGTATTGCACAAAATAAACAATAACTGAAAGGTGTAAAACAGAAACATATGACTCAGAGGGCCACTTTCAAAGTGTGTTGGAAGATAATACTTTGATGCTAAATGGCATATTATTATAACTTAGTCTTCGTAACCCTACTGTTTCACATCCCTTTCAGTGAGAACCAACTGTCTTTCCTAAAGTATGGCCACTATATGATAATGTATAAACATGGGTCAAATCTATAATGTCGTTGGCAAACAGAATGACAACCTGCAACACACACTCAGACTATGCTGTATTGTACAGGCTGAAGGTTGTGTTCAAGTTCAACTGGCATAAAGTGAGTAAGTTCAAAAGGAGGTGCAAAAAATAAAGGCTATTTGGTTTGGCCTTGATAATCTCTGTGTGATACCAAATGGATAAAAAGATAATACAATGACATAAAAGAGAATTAACATGTGGTTGTTTTTAACATAATAAAGTAGCTTCAAAAATACATACACAATATATCCCCAACAGATAAAAGAACAGATTCAGAACAGATTTGCGCTTCTTTCAGAATGGAAGGGTGCTTCAATAGTCTTAGGTGAAAATTATACAGTTCTACACAAATTGCTCGTGTGTGTTGGGGTGAGCGTACAATGGTCTGGTTTACATGTTTACTTAGTGATGGTTAGAGACTAGTGACTCCTGTACAGGATCTGAGATTTGGCTCAGAATGAATAGGCCTAATATCTATTATCTACCTTGTCAAATCAGTTATCAGCAACATACTCATGAAGTTCGTGAACACATTGCTCTGTAGTACAAAACATGAACAAATAAAAAAAGAAAGAATGTAAAGAAATAAATATATTTCAAGTTTTTAAAATGTGTTAAAAATATGAAAAAGTGCATTGATGCACCCCATACTGCGCTGTGTGGACCAGTACTGAAATGATCTAAATCTAACACCTATCTGAAAAAAACTATAATTTGGCAGGTTTGGGAGCAGTGTCTATCAAAGTGTTAGTTTACTCTAAAATCTAATTTGATAGACATTTTCATACTGAGTCCATATTCCATTCCGTAGAGTTTACCCTGGTTTATGCATTAGGAGAAATCAGCAGGCTTCAATCCGAAATGAATAGAAGATATTGGCACAATCTAATTATATTTTGTTAAGACAGATGCTGAATGTGGACAACTTGACACTAAACAACAGAGGTATAGAAACGTTTGACAAACTTTTTGGGTGAGCTATCATTTTACGGGCATAATTATATTCAGTCGGTAACGTACCAGAGAAGAGAAAGCACAGGCTCAGACAAGATTAGCAGACTAATCTTGTAGTTTCATCATGATAATGCCAGTTTAGGCTGAATGAAGTGCTCGGTTACTTCACATCACAATTTTCACTTGCTTTTAACTGCTTCAACATCAGTAAAGTGAGTCACAACACAGCCAGCCTGGCATATGAGCAGCTGTTATCAAACATAGTGGAATCATTACACTAATAGAAAACATATTAAATGTGTAAGACAACTACATACAGAATCATCAATTGTAAAGCTCCCTATTCATTTATAGTATATGTTACTTAAAACTTTGGGAGGGAGCGATTTTCCAATAGGTTTTTTTGATACATAAATCAACTAGTATAAAAAGGGTGTGATATAATTGTAAAAATCTGTCATAGGAGGATGAGAGATTCAAAACACTGTACATAATACATGTATGTTTGTAGAAAATGATCTTTGCATTGTACTGAAGTTAACTTAATGTTGATATAAAATCAATTTGTGGAGATGCACACAGTTATACAAAAAGTGAAAATAAATACCTCCCAAGGTAAAACACTCGTATGTACTTAATACCTTGAATTAAGATGAGGGCGTTAGTCTTCCTACTATCGCAAAGAACAGAAAGTTTGGTCGGCAGTAACTTGTGTCAGAGAACGTTTTCAATCTCACAAAGATATTTGGATCATGTCGTTGGACCTATAGCAGAAGTTACAATACAGTTTAAAATTCCAACATTACTACAGAAAAGAGGTATCCATTTCAAGCATGTACAATGTCATATGTTCTACTATATACATGTATGTTATGACCTACCTAAGGTATGTAGCAATAAATGGTGAAAGTGCTTTAAAAAGGTTTAGCAGAACAATTTAAAACAAAACATTTGAGCGCACAGTACAGTACACACACACCATCACTTACATTACTGCACACAGGACCAATGAACAGCCACCTATCTGTCAGGTCAATGTATTGGAAATGAGAGTCCCTCTCGGCTGGCTGCAGTACTGTGTACAAACAGACTGGGACCATATCTGTATAATACTCATCTAGTGAAGTGTAGCAATAACTCCTAAGAGGAAATAATCACCAAACGTATTCTGCTCAACCTCTCAATTTTAATGAAATGCAACCTCCTCTCCAAAACTGCCTTTCTATGTCTGTTTCCATGGATATACAGTGAAGGGGGCTGTGGATAACACTGATGCCTCCCCTCTTCTTCGGTGGTTTACAATAGGAGCCAATTATGTACACAATGGAGAGTGAGACTGGGGAACGGAACTTACATGTAATGATGATGTGATGTCATACCATTACACTATATGCCATTATAATTCACCTTATTAGAAGGACTATATTCACAAGGAGATCTGCGCATTGCTAAACACCTAAACAAACAAACAATAATACACCACTCACCGAGATGAAGTGAGAGAATCTGTCTGTAAACATTAACAAACATATACATATATATATATATATATATATTTATATTCATCTATACTCATAAGTATATAAAAAAACAGGTATAAGGAATGTCGGAATGTAGTGTGTAGTCCTGAAAATTGCACAAATCTGTTTTTCTTCTCATTGTGAAAGGAGAGCTAGATAGGGATAATAGATCATGTTTGGAGTGATGAGGGTGGCAGAGGAGTGTTGGGCCTGGCTCTGCTGGCTCATCAACACAGCAAAGCTTTCTAGGGGAGTGAAGCGGCACCTGGACCCTGGCAACAGGCCCCTAGCAACCCCAGCTCACAGGAAGTAAACAAAGAGAAAAGCAGCATGGTGGAGAGAGGTTTACACCCCCTCTCCTTCCCCCTCACTGAGTTCTTCAAAGTGCTGATTAACCAAGAACATAAGAACACTAACTGAGTTTCCACGCCTGTAGAAATGACAGAATCATGAAGTTTTGAAACAGAAACACTGGGTGTTTGGGATGATGTCAGAGAGAAAGGCAGGGCTTGGGGCACAACTCTCCATCTCCACTTGACCTCTCCTCCACTCCCCCTGCCCTTAGACACAGAGGAGCTCTGTTCCGCTCTCTGATATAGGACAACTCTCACCGCTCACACCAATACTGTCTGTCTGTGTGTCTGTCAGTCTGTCCAGCCCATGGGATTCTCAGGTGTAACTGGTGGCTGCAGTTCTGGTCTCTCTCACCTGAGGGCACTCTAATCACACCCTATTCCGTAAAGGTATAGTGCTCAATTTCTAGTGCACTATTTAGGGAATAGGGTGCTATTTGAGACAGCTTCACTCTCAGTCCTGCTGGCTGGGCTCCTCCTCAGGATCCTCTGGCTCCTCTTTGACACTGACCGTGCCAGGGGGGTGTGTGTGAGTGTGTGCAGGGTTGGTGTTGGAGCTCAGGGGGCTGTGGGGGTCGTGGTTGGAGCAGCAGGGGCGGCCCTCCAGGGTAGAGGGGGTGAGAGTCCCCCCCTCATGTTCCCGGCAGAAGGAGCGAGGGCAGAAGTCACAGAGGGACGAGGCTAGGACACCACACACACTGCAATCATGCCACGGGCACTCCCAACGGCCTAAACACACACAGAGAAAAGGTTACTACTGACTTATAGACACACACACACACAAACACACACACACACACACAGACAGTGCGTACCGTATGGAGGTTTGGTGAGGTTGAGACACAGCAGGTGGTAAGCTTTAGGACAGTCCTTCTTGTCACACATGACCAGCTCCCCTCCCTCTCCGCAGCAGAAGCAGATGTACTCATGTGTGTGTTTCCCCTCCGGTCGCAGCTTACGCTTCTTGGGCTTCAGTTTAGCGTTCCTCGCCTTCTCCTCCTTCTCCATCACCACTGCACTCTGACGGACAGACAGAAAAACAACGTCGTTAAACAATCTGCTCAGAGGTCACATTCTGACAATTTACCTTGTTAAAGCTGAGAGAGAGAGGAGTTATCAGCCCTGTTAGGCCAGCTTCTATAGCACTAGACAACATGGCAGACAAACCATGGAGAGAAGTGATCTGCTAAGGTGAGACATCAGTAACATGTTACTTGATTCCTACATGATGCTGTCATAATGAGAATGTGGGCGTGTCTGTACCATAGGCCGCACCCCCAGGAAGCCAGAGCAGTTCTCAGCTCCACAGTGACACGACGACCTTCTGTTCCCAACAAGGTCCAGGTTATAGTTAAACGTCAGCTCAGTACCTGCAGAACATGCACACACACAGACGATTATAGTTAAATGTCAGCTCATTGTCTGCAGGAGAGAGGAGATCGATCAGAGAGATCAATCAACAAAGATACAGAACGTGTATGTGCTGCTCTCCTCACCAGCCTCTATGTCACACAGGGTGAAGAGGCCTATGCGTATGTCTCCGTTGACGGTCCATTTCTGTGTCTCACAGTTGGGGCTGCAGCTGTGGTTAATGAAGCGAGAGGAGTTCCCTTTGGGCCCGGCGTCTATCACCCGGTCCTGAACACACACACACACACAGGCAGTTAGACATATACACATTTGCACGCACGCAGTTAGACCCCCCCACACACAGCCAAGAGACGCACACTACTGCATAGAGAGAGAGACAAATAGCTTAACAGATTCATACACATACTATGTACTACTGGTCATGAGGTGGAGGTGTCAATTAAAGACATTTCAGACTGTTGGGACACAGCCTATAATGTCATTACCTTGGTGAGGGTGAGCATGTAGAAGTCGGTCACATGGTTCTCATGAGCGCGTTTGATTCGCTGCTGGCACTCCTCTGAATCTATCACCTCTCCCACATACTCTGTCACAAAATCTCCCTGCGGAAGAGACACAGAGCACATACGACACACAATACACATCATTACTTACAACAAAGCATACCTGTGGTGTTATTAACAATCACCTCTGATCTACAAACAACACAGGCTCGGTTCCATTTTGGTCTTTAGCCCCGTTCCCTAAGCCCTCAGCCAGTTCACTGATCTGAAAGGTTTGGATAGGTACAAATAATATGACAGGCTAGGTGGAGCCCTCACAATGTTGCTAATCCCAATCAATTTCAGAGAACACCTAAAGGGTTAGGGGCTAGGGATAGAAATAGAACCAGGCCCCAGACTACGTCCACCCCAGCGGCCCTCACTCACCTTCCTGAGGGCATGGTTGGTCTTGAGGCCCCAGCCGCAACCCTCTGTCTTGATGACCTCTGTCTCAGAGTACAGACGCTTCGAGAAGCATTGGTTCTCACAGCTATCACCTGCCGGACACACCTAGGACAGGAGAACAGGGCTGAATCGGGCTGCACACGCAAACAGATGCACACACGCGGGCGCACAAACACACACACACACACACACACACCAACCTGTGGGTGACACTCGTACTGCAGCATGCGGTTGAGACATTGGGAGTCCAGGCTGCAGGGGTGTCGGTCTGTGGGCTTACAGTTGCATCGTAGGATTTCCGACAGGTCGGCTATGTGCACCTGCACCTTCCCCACCGGCTTGTTGGACTGAGAGAGACATGACAACAATGAGATATAAAAGAGGTCTCATTCAGCTAAGAGAGCTCAAGTCTTGCTTTGTTTATATGGCAGAAGATTTGTAGGGCAGGGTATGTGTTTGTAGGGTAGGGGTGTCTCACAGGAGGTTGGTGGCACCTTAATTGGGGAGGACGAGCTCGTGGTAATGGCCGGAGCGGAATCAGTGGAATGGTATCAAATACATCAAACAAACACATGGTTTGATGCCATTCCATTTGCTCCGTTCCAGCCATTATTATTTACATTTTACATTTACATTTTATTCATTTAGCAGACGCTCTTATCCAGAGCGACTTACAGGCTCTGGATAAGACAAATTACGAGCCGTCCTCCCCTCAGCAACCTCCACTGGGGTGTATATATTATGACTGGATGTATTACCTTCATGAACTTGTATGGTGGGGGTTTGCGTGAGTTGCGTTCCTGCTCCAGGGCCTCCCTGCTCTCCCTCTGAGCCTTGAGCTCCTGGAACCTGCGAGCAGCCTCCTCCAGAGCTGACACACACACGGAAGGGATGGAATTAGACTGTGCCTGTCTCACACACTCAGGGCCAAGGCACTATAATTTCACTCAAGAACGAATAGTCCATTTCATAGTTTCCCTTCACGATTCCCAATCTATTGTAGCACAGGGCACAGAGTACAGAGTAGAGTACAGAGCCCAAGGTGGCCTCACCTTTCTTGAAGGTCTTGTTGATGTTGATTTGGCCCGTGACAGGGGTCTTATCGTTCTCCACGTAGGGGAACACACGGCCCTGGTTGATCCAGTAGTAGTCATGGGAACCAAAGAAGAAGACGGGAAATTCTCCGATGTCGTGACGGAGCGTCTGGATGTTGGGGGGCACCAGGCGAGGGTTACAGATCTCCGCTGGCCACCACCTGATGGTGACAGACAGGGGATAACATGAAACATCAGGAAAGAAAGAACGCTACCAGTCCATAAGATACAGCTAGCTATAAGTGTTGTCTTTTTCCTAGACAGACGGGTTGCCTCCCACAATGTACCAATGCTCCAGCTTACACGTCTGTAGAAGTTCCGGCGTCAGTTGGGACAGAGAGGACAAGTCAGAAATGGGAACATTTGGTGTTTATCCATTACATTTTTGGGAGCATATCTTCATAATTTTTTTCATTACGTTTACTATACCATTAGTCAGCACCTCTCCAACATCTTTTGGGTGTGCGTCAACTCATGCTGCTAACCTGTAGTTTCCCAGTTTGACCCAGACGATCTGTTTGTAGTGGGGTTTCTTTCCTGTCCTACACTCCCTGCAGGACCACGCCCCCTCTGGCATCTCCATCTCCAAACACTCTGGGTGGAATGATGCCGGGCACAACGCACAGCACAGCAGCTTCTCTCCTGCAGGGGTGTGTGTGTGTGTGTGTAGAGAGAAAAGAGCAGCACAGGGTTAGAGAACGTACTTCCACACCTGGACACTAGGGGCCACCACACTCTAAGCCTCAACCTTAGGCATGCCAATCATTCAAGCACTTCACTTTACACTGTGAGCAATGCTTTGCCCAAGTAAGTAATATAGTCTTCCAGAGAGCTAGGTGGAGCCATTGTGACATTGCAGCCGCTCGTTTCGTGTATATGAGAAGTGGCTAAGGATAGATATCTCTTTTGGACCGGACAATCATTAGGGCGTGAAGTGAGTCTTTCCCAAACGATTCACAATGTTGGAATAATTTGTAACTCCCACAAGATAATAACATTTGCTTTATGTACAGTACCAGTAAAAAGTTTGGACACACCTACTCATACAAGGGTTTTTCTTTATTTTTACTATTTTCTACATTGAAGAATAATAGTGGAGACATCAAAACTATGAAATAACACATATGGAATCATGTAGTAACCAAAAAAGTGTTAAACAAATCAAAATATATTTTATATTTGAGATTCTTCAAATAGCCACCCTTTGCACACTCTTGGCATTCTCTCAAGCAGCTTCATGAGGTAGTCACCTGGAATGCATTTCATTTAACAGGTGTTCCTTCTTAAAAGTTAATTTGTGTAATTTCTTTCCTTCTTAATGCATTTGAGCCAATCAGTTGTGTTGTGACAAGGTATACAGAAGATAGCCCTATTTGGTAAAAGACCAAGTCCATATTATGGCAAGAACAGCTCAAATAAGCAAAGAGAAACGCCAGTCCATCATTACTTTAAGACATGAAGGTCAGTCAATACGGAACATTTCAAGAACTTTGAACGTTTCTTCAAGTGCAGTCGCAAAAACCATCAAGCGCTATGATGAAACTGGCTCTCATGAGGACCACCATAGGAATGAAAGACCCAGAGTTACCTCTGCTGCAGAGGACAAGTTCATTAGAGTTACCAGCCTCAGAAATTGCAGCCCAAATAAATGCTTCACAGAGTTCAAGTAACAGACACATCTCAACATCAACTGTTCAGAGGGGACTGTGTAAATCAGGCATTCATGGTCGAATTGCTGCAAAGAAACCACTACTTAAGGACACCAATAAGAATGAAAGAGTCCAAATTTGAGATTTTTGGTTCCAACCGCTGTGTCTTTGTGAGACGCGGTGTGGGTGAACAGATGATCTCTGCATGTTTATTTCCCGACGTAAAGCATGGAGGAGGGGGTGTTATGGTGTGGGGGTGCTTTTCTGGTGACAATGTCTGTGATTTATTTAGAATTCAAGGCACACTTAACCAGCATGGCTACCACATCATTCTACAGCGATACGCCATCCCATCTGGTTTGGGCTTAGTGGGAATATAATTTGTTTTTCAACAGGACAATGACCCAACACACCTCCAGGCTGTGTAAGTGCTATTTTACCAAGAAGGAGAGTGATGGAGTGCTGCATCAGATGACCTGGCCTCCACAATCCCCTGACCTCATCCCAATTGAGATGGTTTGGGATGAGTCGGACCGCAGAGTGAAGGAAAAGCAGCCAACAAGTGCTCAGCATATGTGGGAACTCCTTTAAGACTGTTGGAAAAGCATTCCAGGTAAAGCTGGTTGAGAGAATGCCAAGAGTTTGCAAAGATGTCATCAAGGCAAAGGATGGATATTTGAAGAATCTCAAATATAACACTTTTTTGTTTACTACATGATTCCACATGTTATTTCATAGTTTTGATGTCTTCACTATTATTCTACAATGTAAAAAATAGTAAAAATAAAACCCTTCAAGAAAAACCCTTGAATGAGTAGGTGTGTCCAAACTTTTGACTGGTAGTGTATATGAAAACTATGCTGTTGTGGACAACATTTTGATAAGAGAGAGTAGTCTTGACATTGCTGAGGTCCTCTGCTTTTACCTCAGCAGTCAGTCACTGATGGTGTAATGGAATGTCTGACAGGCAGGTTTAGAGTACAAGGCCCATTGTACAATTACAACACATGCCATAGCACCAATGATAATAATACATCTGTAAATAAACCATAAATCACAAAAAAACCATTACCAAAACAACAGAAACGGCACAAAGCTGCCATGCACTCCTGCTTGTAAAGGGGGACGTTCCACTTCCCTGCACCACTGTACTCCACATAGTCTTGGATGGAATCTAATTTAAACAGCATGTGGTTGTGAATGTGTTTTAAATGTCAAATGGGTAATATCGTTGATGAGTAGAAATCACATGATGTCAACTAGAAGGAAGCATTTTATTCAAACATTGAATTATTCATCGAATTGATGTGCATGTGAGGAATATTATAACTGCTATGAGCTATAACCTATCACAAATCAATATTCTTGGAATAATTAACTCCTTAACAAAGCAAAACCTCAAAACGAGACAGCAAACATCCAAGACAGATCGCAGTAAAGTGAGAGCAGCAGATAAATGAGGGACAATTATTTTCATTCAAAAACAGAACTTAGCAGTCATCAAAATAACAGCATTAGAATCAGTCTTTCAAATGAAGACAGGCTCAAAGTGCTAAAGCAGAGAAGTTGTGTTCCTCCAGCAGCAACAAGCCCTCAGACAGACAGGGCGTAAAATAACCGTGTGTGACTTCAGCAGCAAGAAGCCCCCTGCAGGGCATTCAATAACCCAGTGAGACAGGTCATCACTCTTTTCATCACCCTTTCCCAATGTTGATGATGAAATCGGATTATGTTATGTTACAGTGTGCTATGGTCCTCTTGTACAAATTCTCTTTTGTGTTTGTGTAAAGTGTCCCATTCCACCATTTCACAGAGATGAACTTTGCTCATTATTAAACTTCTGTAACACTTTGTTAACGTGGTTCCTGGTTGAACCTGTGCATGTCAGGGTCCCTGACAGGTTATTTTAGGCCCTGCTGTAGCATTAATAGAAGCAGATTGTCTGTTCACACGTTAGAGGCAGAACCAAGCAATAAAGAGGAATAACAAATCAAATGTGGGAAGTCTAGACACATTCAAACACACATACTAACATACATACACACGCACCAGTAGGAAAAGGGAGAGAGAGTAAAACAGTTCTGTTACCTTTCCCAATATTCTTTTTGGTAGCTGTCCAAGAAGAGGGAATCATAGGTAATTTCAACTCAGCACGATTTGACTCAGTCAGAAGGTAGTGGGACTTATAGGCATATGAACTTAATATGATGTCAGTAAGGTCCTGCACTAACAGTCCTACACAAGACACACAGGAAGAGATGGGGTGAGCCGCAATCAGACTACAGTACCCATGATTCCACAGGAGAGAAAGAACACATACGCTGTTAGAACACATAAACGAGAGAGAAAAACTGAGTAAAAAGTCAAATGAAAGAGTCGTCCCAACAGAATACTGTAGATATACAGTGCACTTCGCTTTTTACGAAATTGAGAATCAACTGCTTTTAGTAACCATGGGGACAAATGTCACAAATACATTCACAAACAGGCAAATGCATAATAAGTGAAGGCTCAATGGCATTCTTTCCAAACACAGACAGAGCTCAGTGAACCAGTAGTCTCATCCTTCTCCTGCTGCTGCTGCTATGATATCTGAGCTCAGCTAAGCCTCTGTGGTCTCAGCAAGAGCATCACACAGCAATTATCTCTATGGGGATAAATAAAGTGTAATGGAGTTGAATGTTTAGAGAAGACTGGATTAGAGGGGATCAGAGTCAGAAAGAGAGAGAGGGGGTCACAATTGGCAAGCCATGGTCACAGGAACCAACATGAATGGAAGCTCTGGCTAACCCTGAGAGGAACAGAAGGAGTTGGTTAAGTTGTAGCTATGGCTCTATTCACTCAAACACTTGCCTCAGGGGCCAGACAAAGCAACCTCCCTCTCCCCTGCTGTCCTCCAGAGCCAAGCACTGCGAAGCCACGGGGCTGAATCTGGAAGCTTCCCTTAAGGAGACAGTGGGTCAGGGGCCTTAGTCAATAGTAGTGGACTATATAGCGAATAGGGTGCCATTTGGGACACAGAAAGGGTGAGTGAGTCAGGGTGGGTCCCTACAGGAGGTCTAAAGTGGGAGATAGATCTTACCTCGGGCACAGAGGAAGCACCAGGTCACGTTGACGGGTGAGGAGAGGAGGCCATTCCTCTTGGTGATGCCATGGCTGCTGCAGATCATGATGTGGTGGGTGAGGACCACACTGCCCGCTGCCACGCAGCTGTCCCCTGTGTGGTACGCCACCGGGCAGCGCAGACAACGCATCATACGTCCTGGGGAGGGGGGAGGAAGGGAGGGAGAGAGAGGAGAGAGACTTTAACACCTACAGTATTTGAGGGAGCATTTTAAAAGCCTAAAGTGGCTTCCCTTCCTCTCCTTCATCTAGACTAGTGTTCTGCCCCCTACCTTTGGCAGCTTGGTGAAGGTCTCTCTCCAGGCAGCAGGTAGAGCAGGTATGCTGGGGGCAGCGGAACCCCCCGCCCGTACCACCCCCCACAGTGCCAGGGAGTTTGTGCACGCAGTCATCATGGTAATACTGCCCGCATCCAACCACCGAGCAGCGTAACACCTCCCCTCCCCCCGCCTTACAGCTGAAACACGAGTGAGAGCCTAGAGAGAAGGAGGGAGGGGGCAGAGAGAGAGGGAGGGAGGGGGCAGAGAGAGAAGGAGGGAGGGGGCAGAGAGAGAAGGAGGGAGGGGGCAGAGAGAGAGGTAGGGAGGGGAGGGGGGCAGAGAGAGAGGAGGGAGGGGGGCAGAGAGAGAGAGAGGAGGAGGGGGCAGAGAGAGAGGGAGGGAGGGGGCAGAGAGAGAGAGGAGGGAGGGGGGAGAGAGAGAGGGAGGGAGGGGGCAGAGAGAGAGGGAGGGAGGGGGAGGGAGAGAGAGAAGGGAGGGAGGGGGCAGAGAGAGAGGGAGGGAGGGGGGCAAGAGAGAGAGAGGGAGGGAGGGGGCAAGAGAGAGAAGGAGGGGGGGGCGAGGAGAGAGGGAGGGAGGGGGAGAGAGGAGAGGGAGGGAGGGGGCAGAGAGAGAGGGAGGGAGGGGGCAGAGAGAGAGAGGGAGGGAGGGAAGGGGGCAGAGAGAGAGGGAGGGAGGGGGCAGAGAGAGAGGGAGGGAGGGGGCAGAAGGGGAGGAGGGGCAGGAGAGGGGAGGGAGGGGGAGAGAGAGGAGGAGGGAGAGCAGAGAGAGAGGAGGAGGGGGCAGAGAGAGAGGGAGGGAGGGGGCAGAGAGAGAAGGAGGGAGGGGGCAGAGAGAGAGGGAGGGAGGGGGCAGAGAGAGAGGGAGGGAGGGGGCAGAGAGAGAGGGAGGGAGGGGGCAGAGAGAGAGGGAGGGAGGGGGCAGAGAGAGAAGGAGGGAGGGGGCAGAGAGAGAGAGGGAGGGGGAGGGGGCAGAGAGAGAAGGAGGGAGGGGGCAGAGAGAGGGAGGGAGGGGGCAGAGAGAGAGGGAGGGAGGGGGCAGAGAGAGAGGGAGGGAGGGAGTGTGTGTCAGAGACAAAGGGGTGAGATAGAGGTGAGTGCCAGTCGACTTTTCATTCCTCCATCAGAGAAATCTCTCAATGTCTGCATTAGGCTGCTGGGTTGAAATCACACAGAGATATTTGTCTGTAAGGTAATTTGCATAATCAGGGCTTGAGTAGTATTTTCTCTGTTCACACTCATAGCTTCATTAGCATTCACAAAGTAGAAGGATGTGTCTTGGAATAACTTGAATAATCCTTTCAGCCATTTCAGCCAAAATGATACTGTAAAGATCAAAGGAACCATCAAAGAGAACTTGTCTAATGGTTGTGCAGGTCAAGTAATGATTAGGATGTAAATGAATAGTGTATGCGTTGTGACATCGTGCCATGTCTCACCGTTTCTACATTCCAGACAGGTAAATTTGCCTTCAGGTAGGGAGGTGAGGCCCAGGCACTCCAGATGGAACAGCCGACAGCAGTCCCCCTCACACGACACCAGACCCTCTCCATACACCTCACAGATCTACACACAGAGGAAGAGTTATCACCAATGGGGTATAAAACCCTTTTTTTGTATCAGCTATTTAAAAAGACACAGAGATCAGAGAGAGAAAAGTAGGAAAAAAGACAGAAGATAGGACAAGGGGATGGGAAAGGAGCCTACCTGGCAGACAGTGTCTCTCTTGGCTGTGCTGCTTCCTAGTCTGGACAGACTAGAGTCCACTGACTGGCTGTCTGACGCGTCGGCATCTACTGCTGCTGGGCTGTCCAAACTCTTCCCAAACAGACTCTACATAGGAGAGAGAAGGAGTGAGTGAGTGAGTGAGTGAGTGAGTGTGTGTGTGTGTGTGTGTGTGTGTGTGTTTGTGTGTGTCTGTTTACCTGGGGGTCGTTGAAGCCTCTAGAGTCAGAGTCGGATGTGTCTCTGTATTGAGAGGAGGCCATCTCTACGTCTGTGGAGGCTCTGCTGCGCTTTCTTCAGAGGCTTACAGGCATCTGAGATCTCACTGGCTCCTACACACCACACCACACGTTAACACACACCTCCACAACACTGCTTCCCCCAACACCTTAAACAAAGCCAGTATGCTTAGAGCAGGATGGGAAAGAGAGAGTCATAGGACAGAGCTGGAGTGTCTACCTTTCTGTGAGCCTGTTCTCAGAGTGGTCTCAGGAGCCATCTCAGCCTGCAGGGAGACAGAGAAAGCGAGAGAGGGATGTTTCAGATCTTTATGTTGTATTGTAATCCTCCACTAGAGAACAGAGTGAAAGAACAACATGCTACACTACAGAGGGGAACAGAACAGTAGGTGGTAGTAGCAGGTTTGTACCTGTTCCTTTTTGGTTTTCTTCTTGGGAATGGCCTCACAGCCTTTCTCTGACTCTGATCTACTCCTCACTGACCTGCGCTGCTGCTTACGCTCCTGAGAACCTACAGGAAGGAGACACCTGGTTAAACACCTGGTTAAAAAGGTCTGATCTGTGGGGAACATATTCACACCAACACAATATTTACATATTCCAACAGCCATCACCAGAGGACCCAGAAAACGTCCAAACACACGTGCATACACACACACACACAAACACTTCTGTAGAAGTGTTATGTACCTGGTGGGGTGGTGTGCTGAGACCCAGGAGAGGAGGTGTGCTGTGCTGCTTCCTGGTCACTTCCCCTCTCCTCCTTCTCCTTTCTCTCCTCTCCCCCATCACCCTCTTCCTCTGGACTGGGTTCTGGTTTAACTCCACAGCCCTGCTGGAGAAAAAAAAACTCCACTTAGAAATAAATGCTTCAATTCAGTTTAGAGCAACAACAACATTTATCACCATTGTCAACTAGGATATCTAGACAAATCGAGAGCACCCACCTCAGGTGAAAAATATCCCAGGTCGGCCTGCCGGCCCTCTCCCTCCTCCCTCTCCACCTCCACCTCTCTCTCCACCTCTCTCTCTCTCTGTGGTGAGGGCAGGGCCTTCCTCTGCAGCAGAGGGCACATTTGGTCACATTTGGTGATCTTTACATTCAGTTTCTTCATGGTGATGGAGAGAGGCAGCAGCTTCCTGGCAGCGGCTGTCTTCCAGGCCCGTACCGGGGCAGGGGACTCCTGGGTTCCCCCTGCTTCAGACAGGGTCTTCCGGGCTGGGGGGCTGGGCTGTACAGGGTCCCCGCTCTGGTCCTTTTCTCCCTCCGAGGTTTGGGGGTCGGCTGGGATGTCTGCATTAGGAACACTACACTGCCTACGAGGCTGTCTTCTGGCTGGCTCCACCCGGTCCGGTGATGTCACTGCTCCTTCTTCTTTCTTACTGGTTGAGCTGGAGGAGCTTTGGGTGCGGTTGGCGGCCCTGGCAGGGGTCTTCTTGGTGGGCGGGGGGGCGTTGGGGTCGGGGTCGACGTAGATGAAGGTATAGTTGTCGATGCGTTCCTGCTGCGTCATCAGGAAGGCGTCCTCTGCATGGCCGACGCCCACCTCCCACTGAGCACGCTCTCTCTGAGGGAAGGGCTTCATCAGCTGACACACACACACACATACAATTTACATTACATTTTAATCATTTGGAAGACACTCTTATCCAGTCAGTGCATTCAACTAAGTTTTGTAGGAAAAAACAACCATATATCACAGTTATTGCAAGTAGACTCTTCTTCGAAATACACTACAAGACCAAAAGTATATGGACACCTTCTCGTCGAACATCTCATTCCACAATCATGGGCATTAATATGGAGTTGGTCCCCCCTTTTCTGCTATAACAGCCTGCACTCTTCTGAAGGCGTTCCACTAGATGTTGGAACATTGCTGCGGGGACTTGCTTCCATTCAGTCACAAGAGCATTAGTGAGGTTGGGCACTGATGTTGGGCGATTAGGCCTGGCTCGCAGTCAGGGTTTCCAATTCATACCAAAGGTGTTCGATGGAGTTGAGGTCAGGGGTCAATGCAGGCCAGTCAAGCTCTTCCACACCGATCTCGACAAACCATTTCTGTATGGACCTCGCTTTGTGCACGGGGCATTGTCATGCTGAAACAGGAAAGGGCCTTCCCCAAACTGTTGCCACAAAGTTGGAAGCACAGAATCGTCTAGAATGTAATTGTGTGCTGTAGCGTATAAGATTTCCCTTCACTGGAACTAAGGGGCCTAGCCCGAAACATGAAAAACAGCCCCAAAACATTATTTGTTCTCCACCAAACTTTACAGTTGGCACGATGCATTCGGGCAGGTAGCGTTCTCCTGGCATCCGCCAAACCCAGGTCGTCCGTTGGACTGCCAGACGGTGAAGCGTGATTCATCACTCCTGAGAAAGCGTTTCTACTGCTTCAGAGTTCAATGGTGGCGAGCTTTTCACCACTCCAGCTGACGCTTGACATTGCGCATGGTGATCTTAGGCTTGGTTGCAGCTGCTCAGCTATGGAAACCCATTTCATGAAGCTCCCGACGAACAGTTATTGTGTTGACGTTTCTCCCAGAGGCAGTTTGGAACTCGGTAGTGAGTGTTGCAACCGAGGACAGACCATTTTTACGCGCTTCAGCACTCGGCGGTCCCGTTCTGTGAGCTTGTGTGGCCTACCACTTCGCGGCTGAGCCGTTGATGCTTCTAGATGTTTCCACTTCACAATAACAGCACCTACAGTTGACCAGGGCAGCTCTAGCAGAGCAGAAATTTGACAAACTGACTTGTTGGAAAGGTGACATCCTATGACGGTGCCACATTGAAAGTCACTCAGCTCTTCAGTAAGGTCATTCTACTGCCAATGTTTGTCTATGGAGATTTACATTTACAGTGCATTCGGAAGGTATTCAGACCCCTTCACTTTTTCCACATTTTGTTACATTACAGCCTTATTCAAAAATGTATTAAATTGTTTTTTTTCCCTCATCAATCTACACACAATACCCCATAATGTCAAAGCAAAAACAGGTTTTTAGACATTTCTGCAAATGTATTAAAAATTAAAAACTGAAGTATTCAGACCCTTCACTCAGTACGTTGTTGAAGCACCTTTGGCAGCGGTTACAGCCTCAAGTCTTCTTGGGTATGACGCTACAAGCTTGGCACACCTGTATTTTGGGAGTTTCTCCCATTCTTATCTGCAGATCCTCTCAAGCTCTGTCAGGTTGGATGGGGAGTGTCGCTGCCCAGCTATTTTCAGGTCTATCCAGAGATGTTCGATCGGGTTCAAGTCCGGGCTCTGGCTGGGCCACTCAAGGACATTCAGAGACTTGTCCCGAAGCCACTCCTGCGTTGTCTTGGCTGTGTGTTTAGGGTCATTGTCCTGTTGGAAGGTGAACCTTCCGCCCCAGTCTGAGGTCCTGAGCGCTCTGGAGCAGGTTTTCATCAAGGATCTCTCTGTACTTTGCTCCATTCATCTTTCCCTCGATCCTGACTAGTCTCCCAGTCCCTGCCGCTGAAAAACATCCCCACAACATGATGCTGCCACCACCATGCTTCAACATAGGGATGGTGCCAGGTTTCCTCCAGACGTGACGCTTGGCATTCAGGCCAAAGAGTTCAATCTTGGTTTCATCAGACCAGAGAATCTTGTTTCTCATGGTCTGAGTCCTTTAGGTGCCTTTTGGCAAACTCCAAGCGGGCTGTCATGTGCCTTTTACTGAGGAGTGGCTTCTGTCTGACCACTCTACCATAAAGGCCTGATTGGTGGAGTGCTGCAGAGATGGTTGTCCTTCTAGAAGGTTCTTCCATCTGCACAGAGGAACTCTGGATCTCTGTCAGAGTGACCATCGGGTTCTTGGTCACCTCCCTGACCAAGGCCCTTCTCCCCCGATTGCTCAGTTTTGCCAGGCGGACAGGTCTAGGAAGAGTCTTGGTGATTCCAAACTTCTTCTGTTTAAGAATGACGGAGGCCACTGTGTTCTAGGGGACCGTCAGTGCTGCAGAATTGTTTTGGTACCCTTCCCCAGATCTGTACCTCAACACAATCCTGTCTCGGAGCTCTACGGACAATTCCATCCACCTCATGGCTTGGTTTTTGCTCTGACATGCACTGTCAACTGTGGGACCTTATATAGACAGGTGTGTGCCTTTCCAAATCATGTCCAATCAATTGAATTTACCACAGGTGGACTCCAATCAAGTTGTACAAACATCTCAAGGATGATCAATGGAAACAGGATGTACATGAGCTCAATTTCGAGCCTCATAGCAAAGGGTCTGAATACTTATGTAAATAAGGTACTTCTGTTGTTTTTTATACATTTACAAACATTTCTAAAAACCTGTTTTCGCTTCATCATTATGGGGTATTTTGTGAAGATTGATGAGGAAAAACATTTATTTAACCCATGTTAAAATAAGACCGTAACGTAACAAAATGTGGAAAAAGTCAAGGATCTGAATACTTTCTGAATGCACTGTATATTGGCACACTCCACTTAACAAGGCCATGGCCAAATAAGATGTCTTGTCACCTGCTTTGTAAAAATGTTTATTGCCGGACACAAAATACTGTAAAAACACCAGCAAATCAGCTCCAAGTGATTTTAATTTTGGAAATCTGTTCCAAAGTATTCCCACGCATAGAGATATACAGTTGAAGTCGGAAGTTTACATACACTTAGGTTGGAGTCATTCAAACTCGTTTTTCAAACACTCCACAAATTTCTTGTTAACAAACTATAGTTTTGGCAAGTCGGTTAGGACATCTACTTTGTGCATGACACAAGTAATCTTTCCAACAATTGTTTACAGACAGATTATTTCACTTATAATTCACTGTATCACAATTCCAGTGGGTCAGAAGTTTACATACACTAAGTTGACTGTGCCTTTAAACAGCTTGGAAAATTCCAGAAAATGATGTCATGGCTTTAGAAGCTTCTGATAGGCTAATTGACATCATTTTAGTCAATTGGAGGTGCACCTGTGGATGTATTTCATGGCCTACCTTCAAACTCAGTGCCTCTTTGCTTGACATCATGGGAAAATCAAAAGAAATTAGCCAAGACCTCATAAAAATCATTGTAGACCTCCACAAGTCTGGTTCATCATTGGGAGCAATTTCCAAACGCCTGAAGGTACAACACTCATCTGTACAAACAATAGTACGCAAGTATAACACCATGGGACCACGCAGCCGTCATACCGCTCAGGAAGGAGACGCGTTCCGTCTCCTAGAGACGAACGTACTTTGGTGCGAAAAGTGCAAATAAATCCCAGAACAACAGCAAAGGACCTTGTGTCAGGAGGAATGGGCCAAAATTCACCCAACTTATTGTGGGAAGCTTGTGGAAGGCTACCCGAAATGTTTGACCCAAGTTAAACAATTTAAAGGCAATGCTACCAAATACTAATTGAGTGTATGTAAACTTCTGACCCACTGGGAATGTGATTAAATAAATAAAAGCTGAAATAAATATTTCTCTCTACTATTATTCTGACATTTCACATTCTTAAAATAAAGTGATGATCCTAACTGACCTAAAACAGGGAATTTTTACAAGGATTAAATGTCAGGAATTGTGAAAAACTGAGTTTAAATGTATTTGGCTAAGGTATATGTAATCTTCCGACTTCAACTGTATGTGATCTTGTACAAATGCAAGCAAGGTTTGAAATTATTATGTTTTATCCGCTCAAGAAAAGATTGGCCCATGGCTGAATCTAGTTGATGATCCCTGACGTAGAGGCACCTTCTCAAGGTGCCTCTACGTCATGATTCCAATGGTAGAGTTGAACCGCTAGGAGCAAAAAGAGCTAGATTTACTACTAAAAGACCAAAATATCACTTTTGCAACTAACTGTCAAAATGAAGACCAGATTTGACGTGTTTAATTATAACTAAGTCTAAAACATCTGGTTTTCGAATATATATTTTTTCTTCATGAAAGTTACTCTTTAAACCAGTGTCCAGAGTGTGAGGAGGGTATACTTGTCAGGCCATGCAGTGCTGTGTCTCTACCTTGTGTCTCTCTGCTGTCTTGGTGGTCTTGCGTAGAGTCTCAGCCTGCAGCTCATCAAACTGGTGTTCTCCCTGGTACATGACCACTCTCTTCTCATGGACCCAGGCCCGCTCTGCCACGCTGCCAAAGAACTGCACATGGTACTCTCTGTGACCTGGAGGGCCAGGAGGGACACAGGTAGAGAGCAGTTAGAGGCTTTTAAATTGAATGGCGCCGGAGGAGATGGCTGACGTTTTACGGGCTCCTAACCAATTGTGCTATTGTGTGTGTTTTTTCGCATTATTTGTAAATGATTTTGAACATAATGTTTCTGCCACCGTCTCTTATGACCGAAAAGAGCTTCTGGATATCAGGACAGTGATTACACACCTCGTAATGGACGAAGATTATTTATTTAATGAGACGGACGCGAAGGATTTTCTTCAGACACCCGACAAGGCCCAAATCCCTGTCATTCGCATGAGAAAGAGACTGAGATATCGGGGATGTAGGTCGGGGTACCTTGTAAGGATCTGACGGCGAGTGGGTAATCTGCCTCAACCATCAGTCCTATTAGCCAACGTACAATCATTGGATAACAAAATAGACAAACTACAATCACAGATATCCTACCAACGGGACATTAAAAACGGTAATATCTTATGTTTCACCGAGTCGTGGCTGAACGACGACATGGATAACATACAGATGGCGGGATATACGCTGCATCGGCAAGATAGAACAGCTGCCTCCGGTAAGACAAGGAGTGGCGGTCTGTGTATATTTGAAACAACAGCTGGTGCAGCTGGTGCACGAAATCTAATATTAAGGAAGTCTCTAGGTTTTGCTCGCCTGAGGTAGAGTATCTCATGATAAGCTGTAGACCACACTATTTACCAAGAGAGTTTTAATCTATATTATTCGTAGCTGTTTATTTACCACCACAAACCGATGCTGGCACTAAGACCACACTCAATGAGCTGTATAAGGCCATAAGCAAACAGAAAAAAGCTCATCCAGAGGCGGCACTCCTAGTGGCTGGGGACTTTGACGTAGGGAAACTTAAATCCGTTTTACATCATTTCTACCAGCATGTTAAATGTGCAACATCCGCACTGAGCTAAAGGGTAGAGCTGCCGCTTTCAAGGAGCGGGACTCTAACCCAGACGCTTATAAGAAATCCCGCTATGCCCTCCGACGAACCATCAAACAGGCAAAGCGTCAATACAGGACTAAGATTGAATCGTACTACACTGGCTCCGACGCTCGTCGGATGTGGCAGGGCTTGCAAACTATTACAGACTACAAAGGGAAGCACAGCCGCGAGCTGCCCAGTGACACGAGCCTACCAGACGAGCTAAATTACTTCTATGCTCAATTCGAGCCAAGCAACACTGAAGCATGCATGAGATTCTCTCTAATTCTCTCGTTCTCTCTTTCTCTCTGAGAACCTGAGCCCTAGGACCATACGTCAGGACTACCGGGCATGATGACACCTTGCTGTCCCCAGTCCGCCTGGCCTTGCTGCTATTCCAGTTTCAACTGTTCTGCCTGCGGCTACGAAACCCCTACCTGTCCCAGACCTGCTGTTTTCAACTCTAAATGATCGGCTATGAAAAGCCAACTGAGAGACCTGAGCCCTAGGACCATACGTCGGGACTACCGGCCGTGGTGACTCCTTGCTGTCCCCAGTCCGCCTGGCCTTGCTGCTATTCCAGTTTAAACTGTTCTGCCTGCGGTTATGGAACCCCTACCTGTCCCAGACCTGCTGTTTTAAACTCTAATGATCGGCTATGAAAAGCCAACTGAGATTTATTCCTGATTATTATTTGACCATGCTTGTCACTTATGAACATTTTTGAACATCTTGGCATGGTTCTGTTATAATCTCCACCCGGCACAGCCAGAAGAGGACTGGCCACCCCTCATAGCCTGGTTCCTCTCTAGGTTTCTTCCTAGGTTTTGCCTTTCTAGGGAGTTTTTCCTAGCCACCGTGCTTCTACACCTGCATTACTAGCTGTTTGGGGTTTTAGGCTGGGTTTCTGTACAGCACTTCGAGATATTAGCTGATGTAAGAAGGGCTATATAAAATAAAATTGATTGAAATTGATTGATGAGAGCATCAGCTGTTCCGGATGACTGTGTGATCACACTCTCCGTAGTCGATGTGAGTAAGACCATTAAACAGGTCAACATTCACAAGGCCACAGGGCCAGACGGATTACCAGGACGTGTACTCCGAGCATGGGCTGACCAAGCTGACATTTTCAACCTGTCCCTGACTGAGTCTGTAATACCAACATGTTTCAAGTAGACCACCATAGTCCCTGTGCCCAAGAACACTAAGGTAACCTGCCTAAATGACTACCGACCCGTAGCACTCACGTCTGTAGCCATGAAGTGTTTTGAAAGGCTGGTCATGGCTCATATCAACACCATTATCCCAGAAACCCTAGACCCACTTCAATTTGCATACCACCCCAACAGATCCACAGATTATGCAATCTCTATTGCGCTCCACACTGCCCTTTCCCACCTGGACAAAAGGAACACCTACGTGAGAATGCAATTCATTGACTACAGCTCAGTGTTCAACACCATAGTGCCCTCAAAGCTCATCACTAAGCTAAGGACCCTGGGACTAAACACCTCCCTCTGCAACTGGATCCTGGACTTCCTGACGGGTGGTAAGGGTAGGTAACAACACATCTGCCACGCTGATCCTCAACACGGGGGCCCCTCGGGTGCGTGCTCAGTCCCCTCCTGTACTCCCTGTTTCCCCCATGACTGCATGACCAGGCATGACTCCAACACCATCATTAAGTTTGCCGACGACACAATAGTGGTAGGCCTGATCATCGACAACGATGAGACAGCCTATAGGGAGGAGGTCAGAGACCCGGCCGTGTGGTGCCAGGATAACAACCTCTCCTTCAACATGATCAAGACAAAGGAGATGATTGTGGACTACAGGAAAAAGTGGACCGAGCACGCCCCCATTCTCATCGACGGGGCTGTAGTGGAGCAGTTTGAGAGCTTCAATTTCCTTGGTGTCTATATCACCAACAAACTATCATGGTCCAAACACACTAAGACAGTTGTGAAGAGGGCACGACAAAGCCTATTCCCCCTCAAGATTTGGCATGGGTCCTCAGATCCTCAAAAAGTTATACAGCTGCACCATCGAGAGCATCCTGACTGGTTGCATCACTGTCTGGTATGGCAACTGCTCGGCCTCCGACCGCAAGGCACTACAGAGGGTAGTGCGTACGGCCCAGTACATCACTGGGGCCAAGCTTCCTGCCATCCAGGACCTCTATACCAGGCGGTGTCAGAGGAAGGCCCTAAAAATTGTCAAAGACTCCAGCCACCCTAGTCATAGACTGTAGTCATAGACTGCATCAAGTCTAGGTCCAGAAGGCTTCTTAACAGCTTCTACCCCCAGGCCATAAGACTCCTGAACAGCTAATCAAATGACTACCCGGACTATTTGCATTGCATTCGGCGCATGTGACAAATAACATTTGATTTGATTTGAAACAGTTATGTCTATAAGTGCTGAGTAATAAAAAATAAATAATGTATACACATTGTATGCTCCATGACATGCTCCATGACAGCAGTGTGTGTGTTTACCTCGGGTGTTGATGCGTGTGTGGACGTTCATCTGGGGGTCACAGGAGACCATGCAGGGCCACCAGGGGTAGGTACCCACTTTGGCCCACACCAGGTCCCCCACCTCGTGGTTCTTACAGCAACCTGTACCTGTTATCACTGTAGGGTACTGCTTCTGGACCTACAGTACAGGAGGGAGAGAAAACACACACACTCAATTAACGTCAGGGAGTCATGCCCTACCCCCAAGACACTTTCTGTAGATTTAAAAGAATCAGATGGGTGTAAGCAATCGTACACTAATCCCTTACTTTCAGATGTCTGAAACTATTGAAACAGTTACTCTTCGAGTACTGAATAGTGACTTAATCGCACTGGATGACCTCAACCAACAGAGAAGGTGCAAACCAACACTTGCCTTAGGTGCCTTGGGCTCCGCTTTGATGGGAGTCTTCTGTGGCTTCTCAGTCTGCCCCACAGGCAGCTCCCGTGGCTGGGTCTGGGCCTGGGCCTTGGTGTAGGTCTGGAGCTGTGGCTGGGTCTGGATGTCCCTGGCCTGCCCTATAGTTTCCCTCTGTGGCTGCTCCTGGTCTTGCTCCTGCCCTTCTTCTTGCTCCTGCAGCCTGGCTGTATTTTTCCTCTTCTCCTTCTTCCTCTCGTGTCTGCTGTGGGTCTGGGAGTCCTCGCTGGCCTGGGACTCCTGCAGCAGGTCTCCACACAGCGCAGACTCAAACAGCTCTCTCCCGTTCTGGTACGTCTTTATGATCTTTAGTTTGATCTCTGGAGAGCTGGTCTTCTTCAGGATCCCGCTGGAGGAAGCAGGGGGGGTGTGAGGTGGGTGTGAGGAGGAGGTGCTGTCCAACAGGGAGGGGGGAGGACTGGTGGAGGGCAGGAGTAATGGGGGAGGAGGGGGGAGCACGTGGGACATGAGGTGAGGTGGTGGGGGGAGGTGGTGTTGGGAGGGCAGGGGCAGAGGGCTGTGAGGGTGAGGGTAGGGGTGTGTGTGAGGTTGAGGGTGGTAGTGATGAGGATGGTGGTAATGAGGGTGATGGAGGTGGAGGTGGGGGTGTGGGTGGTGTGAAGGTAGAGGAGGAGACAAAGGGGAGCAGGGTCTCTCTTGGAGGACAGGGGCCCTCAGGACCGTTCCCTCCCCAGGCATGAGGCAGTGCTCTCCGTAGCCCCGGATGGCCCCGTAGCCATTGGCCGAGCCGTTGGGAAACTGGGGGTACATGGAGAACTTGGCCTGGGGCTCGTACAGCCCCAGCCCAGGAGGGTAACCGTTGGAGACTGGGGGCATGTCCTCGGAGGCCGAGGGCGGGTAGGAGAACTCTGCTTCCAGGGCAGTGTCGTAGGAGGGGCCTCCGCCCTCATCGCTACCGGTGTCGTAGGCGCCCTCCTGACGGATGTTGGCTGAGTCAATGAGCTGAGGGGGTTGCTGAATTGTATTTCCCATGATCCCTTGCATGAAAGAAAAGGAGAAATCCATTGTTGTGCTCCTGCATCCTTAACTGTCCTTTTCTCTGGCTGGACCTGGAAGAGGACAGACACATAGGAGAGGGCTTGATATATTGATATGGGTTGATATGATGTTGGAGAGGATGTGACTGAAAGAACAATGAGATCTACAACTGTGCATCTATCTTTTTTAATCAAAGGTAAGAAATGTTTATCAATCATCACAGTAAGATAAACAAAGTGACTTACATTATAAAGAGACAACAGAACTGTCTATATATCTAATCCTACTGGAAAGGAAAGGCACAGACTGTTCTGGGGCGGCAGGTAGCTTAGTGGTTAAGAGCGTAGTGCCAGTAACCGAAAGGTTGCTGGTTCTAATCCCCGAGCCGACTAGGTGAAAAATCTGTCGATGTGCCCTTGAGCAAGGCACTTAACCCTAATTGCTCCTGTAAGTCGCTCTGGATAAGAGCGTCTGCTAAATGTCTAAAATTTAGATGTTCTGAGGAGAACTAGTGCGATATTCTCTTGATGCATCAAATAATAAAACTGATCTCAATTCTTTCATGCTTGAAATCTCTTTTCCATAATAAGACCAAAGAGCTCCCTGCACAGTGTGCACTGAATTTACTAAAATATGTCTGCTGAATGCTTCGCTTTCCCCCATCATTTTAAAAGCTGGCCATCTCTCATTAATGTTAATGTTATAAAGTTGTTATTAGTGTCCTAATCCTAAACACTATTAGTGTCCTGATACTCAACTGGTAAATGTTCACATACAGATAGATGACCAAAATGATCCAAATGTAGATCAAGATCCTCCCGCTATGAGATAAAAATGCCTTAATATAAACACGACATGAGCCATACAAGCCTACAAAATCTTTCAGAACCCCTATGGAACTAGCATGTTTACCCCTCGGGGAGGCCGCAGTTTTGGGAAACACTGACTGAGTGAGCTAGGCTGCCATAGACATCTCAGGGGCAGCAGTAACTCTGTGTAATGTCTGTCTAATATGAGAGATCCCTGCCAGTAGTGGAGCCATCAGATCCAACATCTGAGTGCCAAAGAATCCAACTCATCATTCAAACAGCATAGGCACAATTAGCAGTTCTGAACGACTCATAATGATTGCACAGTAGTAGGCAATGTGGTTATTTAAGTTAACCGCTGTTGTAGTTACGGTAGTTTTTCTGACCTTGTGACCTGATCAGGAAAAACCCTCTTATGATTGTCTATACAGTCAGAGTGATAGCCTACAGTTTAGGGCACAGAGTTTTTCCTGGTCAGTTCAAGCAGTATAAATAGACTGTGTGGACCTAATAAATGCCTTTGTTTTTGCCTCTGCCAAAATATGGGAAATCATTCACTTAACTTCTAAAGAAGTCCTATTGTTTGATCTCAAACCATCATTAATAAATGCAATGTACTACTACTGTGTAGGCAGGCCCTACACATTTCACTCAGTCAAACGGCTCTAGATGTGAAAGAGTAGCCTAGATGGCCATGTCCCCATGACCTGGGTGAGACAGAAGTACAGGGATACTACAGTGATAATTACAGTAATAATACATTGATTCCGAATTGAACAGTTAAATAAAGTGGCATAACGTTGTTACATGCACAAAATAACCTTGAATCAAGGTGTCCTTTTTTGGTGTAGACTAAACCTTGATTTGATTGAGATTAAGCAGCCTTTATTGCCATTCACAAGGTGATATAAGGGGAAATGTATTCTCATTAATATGTATAACAGCTACTGCTGCTGGATGAGAATATAAAGTAATGTAGATCACGCAGTCCAGCTTTGCATACACGAGTTGATACACTGTAACACCAGGGTCATTTTATTGAAGAAAACGATGCGCACACAGACTGAAATATTGTTACATTGTACTGAGTGATTGAACTGCATCATTAGCAGCCGTGCTGTCCACTATTCTGCTGCGATGTTTTTATCTAGCTAGCGTAGTTAGCGCTCATGAACACTGGAAAATGAAATATCGTGTCAATATAAAAACACGTATTTAAAGCCGAGACGATGTTCTTGCATTCTGACACGTCCGCAATGTTTACACATGTATGTATCCATTTCAATACGATGCGGAAGACTAGAAACAAGATGGCAAAGGAAGCTATACATTGTTGCCAATATGGCTGCCTTTGCCCCTTTAAATCAAATTGTCTATCGTGATAACACCTCCATCACTCGTTTGATGAAATTTGGAAATATTAACCTAAATCTACACGGCGAAATCCTTTGCTAAATGCACCGTTAAGATAATGTCTGCAAGCTGATTATCAATGAGAAATATAGAGAGAACGGAGAACGAAAGATGCTGTGAGAGTCGCGAGATGTATTAAAATAAAATGTCAATACCTTCAGCGTGTCCCATTCTAAACACATACACCAGATATCTGCGCTTCCTTGTGCAATTTACAAAAAGTGATAAAATGAAAAATCTTGGGAAAATATTAGAGTGCAGGCCTCTCCGTTTCTAACGCAATTCATTAATAGGTGCAATTTACGGTCACTGCTCGGTCCCCATGTCTTGTCTATTTGCTGTAGAACCTAAGGCCTAGTATTTTGCGGAATCTTGGTGGGAATGATCTCGCCCCCTTATGTATTTTCATTTTACTGGCTCGCTCTTCCTTCAGCTGTAACAAAAGCACCCTGCTTTGGGCCTTGTCTGTCTCGCTCAGCGCCAAATCACAAGCTCCCGATTGGCGGGGGTAACACAACCAGGCGCAAACCGGGATGTGTAGTTCCAATCGTTGAAAGAACATCTCAGCAGCAGAATAAAAATACATGTAGGCCTATGAAGAAAATAATGAAAAAGAAAATACAGCTAAATAAAGCTATAAATATTGAATGCATAGGTTAGGCCTACATAACGTTGGTATAAGCTATGTAAAGAGAAACAAATTGGGCCAACTCATATGGCCTAATGTCAAACATCATGTCCTAAATAGATGGTTAAAATATAAATTCCTGTTTAGATATTTTCTTAAATGAAATAAGATATTCTCTGAAATAATCAATGTGGAACTATTATAGTACTCCTGAGTGGCGCAGTGGTCTAAGGCACTGCATCGCAGTGCTAACTGTGCCACTAGAGATCCTGGTTCGAATCCAGGCTCTGTCGCCGCCGGCCGCGACCGGGAGACTCATGGGCGGCGCACAATTGGCCCAACGTCGTCCAGGGTAGGGGAGGGAATGGCCGGCAGGGATGTAGCTCAGTTGATAGAGCATGGCGTTTGCAACGCCAGGGTTGTGGGTTCGATTCCCACGGGGGGCCAGTATAAAAAAAAAAATGTATTCACTAACTGTAAGTCGCTCTGGATAAGAGCGTCTGCTAAATGACTAAAATGTAAATGATATGATAGATAGCCCAGGCCATGTGTTATGGCATGAAAGGATAAGAGGACAAAATGTCCCAAGGAGGCCTTGACTGCACTCTGCGGATTTAGTAAACCTGACAATAAAACATAGGCTACTGTACCTCAACATAGAAATGTGAGAAAAGCACTAGTGTGCAGGCTATATATTTCATAGTCTTGTATTATATAACACTTACTATAATAACCTACTAGCCTGTGTGAAAATTGAGAGGCATACAGTGAGTTCAATGTCTATGTACTTTGGTTTTACCATACAGTGGCTTGCGAAAGTATTCACCCCCCTTGGCATTTTTACTATTTTATTGCCTTACAACCTGGAATTAAAATAGATTTTTTGGGGGTTTGTATCATTTGATTTACACGACATACGAAGATGCAAAATATTTTTTTTTGTGAAACAAACAAGAAATAAGACAAAAAAAACAGAAAACTTGAACGTGCATAACTATTCACCCTTCTCTCCCCCCCCCCAAAGTCAATACTTTGTAGAGCCATCTTTTGCAGCAATTACAGCTGCAAGTCTCTTGGGGTATGTCTCTATAAGCTTGGCACATCTAGCCACTGGGATTTTGCCCATTCTTCAAGGCAAAACTGCTCCAGCTCCTTCAAGTTGGATGGGTTCCACTGGTGTACAGCAATCTTTAAGTCATACCCATATTCTCAATTGGATTGAGGTCTGGGCTTTGACTAGGCCATTCCAAGACATTTAAATGTTTCCCCTTAAACCACTCAAATGTTGCTTTAGCAGTATGCTTAGGGTCATTGTCCTGCTGGAAGGTGAACCTCCATCCCAGTCTCAAATCTCTGGAAGACTGAAACAGGTTTCCCTCAAGAATTTCCCTGTATTTAGTGCCATCCATCATTCCTTCAGTTCTGACCAGTTTCCCAGTCCCTGCCGATGAAAAACATCCCCACAGCATGATGCTGCCACCACCATGCTTCACTGTGGGGATGGTGTTCTCGGGGTGATGAGAGGTGTTGGGTTTGCGCCAGACATAGCGTTTTCCTTGATGGCCAAAAAGCTCAATTTTAGTCTCATCTGACCAGAGTACCTTCTTCCACATGCCTTTTGGTGAACACTTATTTTTTTTCTTCAAGCAATGGCTTTTTTTAGGCCACTCTTCCGTAAAGCCCAGCTCTGTGGAGTATACGGCTTAAAGTGGTCCTATGGACAGATACTCCAATCTCCGCTGTGAAGCTTTGCAGCTCCTTCAGGATTATCTTTGGTCTCTTTGTTGCCTCTCTGATTAATGCCCTCCTGGCCTGGTCTGTGAGTTTTGGTGGGCGGCCCTCTCTTGGCAGGTTTGTTGTGGTGACATATTCTTTCCATTTTTTTATAATGGATTTAATGGTGCTCCGTGGGATGTTCAAAGTTTCTGATATTTTTTTATAACCCAACCCTGATCTGTACTTCTCCACAACTTTGTCCCTGACCTGTCACGATCGTCGTTAGATGAAGCGGACCAAGGCGCAGCGTGATAGGCGTACATACTTTATTAAATGTACAACACGAACCAAAACGATACGTGAAGTCCTAGGTTAAACAACAAACCTTACGGATCAAGATCCCACAAAGACTAGTGCAAAACAGGCTGCCTAAGTATGGCCCCAATCAGAGACAACGAGCT